TCGGTTTGAATTCCGAAAAGTGACCTTACCATTTACCATCCCTCAGGAACTTCCGAAATTCGTTCAGTAGGTAATCGTTAACCCTTAATCTTTAACTCCTTCTCTACTGTTAACCACACGGACCGAAATTTCTAGAGGGTAAACCCAACGCCAAGTTGTTCCGCCTTTCCCAATTACCCAACCATTTATTCAGATGTTAGCGTTGTCGCCAGACCCGTCTCTCTTATTGGCAGCTTGTGGCTCAATTAGCTTGTTGGCTTGAAACATAGCGACAATACAGCTCAAACAGGAGCCCATAACCGTCAGTGAGCAACTCCCTTGTACTCATGTCACGGCGTTTTTACAAACCAGTTTATTTTTAGATCGCTTTTACGGCTAATTTTGAATATCAAATTTAGTCTCACAAACTCTTCATTGGAAAACTCAATGAAATTCTTCTTCGATTTGTAGTTGTAGAAAACCTGGTTAGCTCTCTACCAAACAAAGTTTTGAACCATGAAGATCGGATATTAGGCTCCAAGGGGCGGGTCCCTCTTTTACATATAAAAAAAAAAACTTTGGTCAAACATTTTAATTACCAAGAAAATATTCACAGTACTAAGAAATCCTAAAAGCGTACAAAGCACTGTTTATGTGTTAAGAATTGCCTCAAACTAAGGAGATGACTTAAAACTAAGTAAGAAACCATGAAATAAAAATAGAAAAATCAAAATGTAACAACATTATTAAACGATTGATACTAATATAAAGAACTAGTTAAATAAGTAAGCACAGCAAGTACAGAAGAAACTGAGCATGGACAACTGAAATTGAATAAAATATTTGCCTGAAAACAGAAATTGTCTGTCTATTCCTGTTTGTGTCAGTGATCCTCAGTACAAAGCAGGCTATACCCCCGTCTTGGAAATATTACTCCCTTATAACCATTTAAGCCGCAAGATTCACATACAAATTCTCTAAACTCATCTCCATACATTTCTTTTCAGACTGGTTAAGAGAATTTGGTTTAAGATCAAAGCGTTCTCTCTTAATAATTTATCAGGGATGATCATACTTTTTAAATTTTTATAGCGGAACACTCTCGCGAGATGAGCTTGTTTAGCGGCGCAAATAGGCTATTTGCACTAAGAGGTCATGTGACTTCATTTTTATGAAAACGAAAGTTATTTGCACTAAGTGGTCATGCGACATCATTTTTATGAAAACGAAAGTTATATGATTTTGCCTTCAAAAAACGATTAGTGGGTCATATCTTAAACAAAATAATAGTGATTTAGTTTGTCAAACCCGCACCATTTTCTTAAAAAGAGTAAGTTCGTAGCTGGTCACGTGACCAAAATGTGATTTTTAAAACTATGAATTACTTCTTTCTGAACAGAAATTTTGCACTTCAACTTCAAGGAAATTGTTTAAAAGATGATGTGGTAACGTTTTCAGCACTTCTGAGCGTAATTATCAAACGTTTAACAAGATACAAGCAAAAAGTAGTTTTGGCCGCCATGTTGGAGGGCAAGAGAATGCCTTAAGTCGTTGCCTGATCATGTTTACAATTCCTATGTCCGCATAGTGTGCTTTCATCCAGAGTTCTCCTAATCGTATCTGTTCCAATAAGCTTTTGATTTTTTTTGGCTCCAGAGAGTTTTATTTTCATTCCATTTAATGTCATTGTATGCTGTTTGGGATAATTTGTTTTCATTTTTGGTTAAGGTTAACCAGAACTTAAAGTTCCTACACTGCCAAGGCTTCAATTCTCATTGGGAACCTTCCTGTCTCAGCCCTGCACGCATTGTTATTGCAGTATTTATCAACTCCCAGCAACCACTTTAGGAATTTATTTTGAACTAATTCTGCCGGATCCTTTTCTAATTGTCCATTGCAATCAATCCCTCACACTTCACTCGCATAAAAGAGTATGGGAGATATCAGTGCATCAAATAACTTCATCGTTAATTTTATATTTTCTCTGAAGTGGTTTCCCCATCTCTTTTCGTAATTTATAGAGTGCTTTAAGTGCAATGCAACCTTCTTCAGCTCCTGCCTAGCGAGATGAAAGTTTCCAAAAGGACTCATTATGAGCCCAAGATATTTGTAGGATTTGACGTTTTCCAGTTCATCAACGCCGTATCTGAACAAGTAGTTGTTTAAAGTCTTACCACAGTAAATTAAGAATCATAATTTTTGTCTTGTCTAAATTTACACTTAAATCGGCATTATCACAGAGAGATTCCAGCTTATTAAGAATTATTTGAAGGCTTTTTGCTGATCTAGAGAAGATCACTAGATCGTCCGCATATAAGAGACAATTTATATGTTTCTCACTTAGCATAATGTCGGTTGAACTCGCCGTATTTAGGAATTTTGGTAGATCACTTAGATAGAACTTAAAAAGAGTAGGTGACAACATGCAACCTTGCTTTATCCCGGCATGACAAGTAAAGAATTCGGTTCATTTGTTATCAATTTTAACTGCCAATTTATCATTTGAGTACATGGATATTAAAACGTCTAGGATTTATTCGATTAAATAAATTTACTAAATGCCCTTTAACGGCGTCATTTCCGATTTTTATTACTTCATTTAATATATTATCGAAACCTGGAGATTTGTTCGCCTTCAGTTTGTTAATTGCAGCTTCGAACTCTTCATCAGTTATTGGATAATCAATTGGGCCTTCCACTCTTTCATTACTGTGGGTTTCCATATTCGTCTTCTGATCTAGTATATTTTTGAGAGGGGTCGCATTCTGTTGCTTAAAGTATTTATAAAACTGTTGCGTACTCACTGTTTCAGCCCCACGTGTTTTTCTTTTTCCTAAGTAAAAGATTCAGTTCCTATTTGTCGCCAGGTCTCTTTGGAGTTCTGCATATCGATATTAGACATGCCCTTGCTGATAGACTCCCGTTTCTTCCGTCTACAAGTTTGTTTGAACTTCTTTTTGTCGCGCAGGAGTTGTCTCAGTTCTGAATTATTAGTGTTGTTCGAAATTTTCTACCCAAGGGATTGCAACTTTTCTTTCTCGCATTCCAGATCGAACCATTTGTTTTGTGATTTTTTAATTTTGCTGCCTCTCACTTTCAATCCGGCTTCTTTGCATGCTTCTACCCAAGTTTCACTAATTAATTCAGACGCAGTATCGATGCTATCATGTTTTACAGCTGCTTCTAACCTGGATTGAACAGTTTGTGATTTGAGACCATCCTTAAGTCTGTCCTCAGACTTGATATTCCAGAAAAGCCTATTATATTCGGCCAAGATGAGTTCGGCTGATGTTTCAAAAAAATCTCGGTTAACAAAGTTGGCTTTATCGCGAATGATAGGTGACAGTGATCCGATAAATGTGGCATTAATGTTTAACAATAAGATTTTGCACATTCATGAGAATACTTTTTGATCCTATGACGTAATCAACAACACTGCTACCGTTACAATGAAAACAGGTCTTTTTATCTTCCAGGTCACCGACAATCCTTCCATTGAGAATTCGTAAATTTAACGCTGTGCATGTTTCTAACAAATTTCTACCCCTAGCGTTCACGGTACGCGAATCTTGTGACCGTCTGCAGCGTTGTTCGTCATTCTCGAAGTCCTCAGGGACATTCAGGAAAGCGTTGTCATCATCTAAGACTGTTTCCTGAATGTCACCCGTTCGTGCATTATAATCACCCTGAACAATTATGTCACCCTTTTGTGAAAATAAAAACATTTCTTCTTCTAATTCCACAATTAAATCTTCGCTGCTATTTCTTTCATAGTTTGGTGGGCTTAACTAAACTGTTCCTAGGTATATATCCTTTTTTGAAAGTTGAAGTAAGTTTTATCAAGTTTACACCGTATTATGTTTTTGTTTTCAGACAGGATGTAGGTGACTCCTTTAGCGAGTTTTTGATTTATATATACGGATAGTCCTCCGGAAGATCGGTTTCCCAATTGGTTCCTACATTTCTTTCGTTTTATTCCCCCGGTGGGGGGTGGGGGGGAGGGGGGGGAAGGGAGGGATACTTGGAGCAATCGCAGATGGGATCTTAGCATCTCCAAATGCCAGCATCTCAGCTTGTGAAATAAGGAACCGCACAAGAAATATAAAATCCCTTTTTATTTGCAAATCCCACTGCAATTATGTTTTAACTTACAAGGTATTTTTTTCGCATATTCTTTAACCATTACATTAAAACAATTTGTCTTTCGGGTTACACCGCTTAAAAACTGAATAATTTAGTAGACATAGTCGCTTTTGCGTTCTATTTTACAACCTTCTGTTTTTAATAAATACAGATAATTTATATTTCACATTTGGATTCAGACTGGTATCGCTGTTTAAACCTTGTTGTTCAGTACAATGTATGTACGCTCAATCGAAGAGGAACTGACTCCCATGCAAATGGATGCATATATTAAACGTGCTACCAGTTGTTTTCAAGGCTCTCAGGGCTTTTTCACAGGAATTTTCCTGGTTCAGTTGTGTAATTAGTCTTATTCCAGTGATTTCTGCGGCAGTTAATTAATTTTCCTTACAGCAGGACGCAACTTCCTTCAATAAATGTAAGTTTCAAGATGTTTACCAAAACAACAGGCGTTGAACCTCCTTGTGGAGTGAAGCCTTCAAAGAGGCAAACCCTGTGACGGTTACGCAGGTTTTTCGCTTGTTTAAATCGGCTTGAAGAGGGTGTTTAATAAAGGCGACAATTATTTACGTTCTTCTGAGCGTAGTGGATTAGTAATGAATCATTGGATGTAATGACTAATTCATTGATGGTGAGATGTCTTAGAGCTGTATATCAGCCTTGCCTAAATGAATTACTGCATAATCAAGGAACAGACTTTCCATAAATCTCACTTTTGTTTTTGCAGACGTTCGTTAAGATCCACAGAGAAGCTTTTTTCGTGCAATAGCTAAAAAGGTGCTCCTTATACCAGCTAAAAAGTGTTTTTCATCACTCACGTGATCTGGTTGAAAAGAGTTTCTGAGAGTTATTTGTACAAACATTTACCGTACAACAGATTAATGGGAGATAGCAGAGTTGTAAATGTTAGCTCTAGACTGGTGCGAAGAAACGTTTCCTGCAAGTTTGGCAGGATTCAAATTGAAAGGTGACGATTCATGCAGTTCACGGAATCCAACCCATACGTGCTCAGATTGCTTGAAGCTCTCGCTGGACAAGGCCCGGCCCTTGCACTTATGAAGGGACGGGGGTGGGGAGGTGTCTATAATGCCATAGAACCAACTGAGATTGAAATCCTTATCCGGTGTTACTTGTATGCCGCGAAGCTGCCACGTACGAGAACAGGCAGAGTACGGCATAGCAAATCTGATTGCACTGAAAATAAAGCCAATACGTACTATTCAGAGAGAGAATTATTAAGGAAACACGACTGTAGGGTGGGGTCCAAACCTCCTGTCTCCCGCCCCTGTTTTCTTGGCTTCCTCATTTCAGCCCTTTTTCGATTGCGAAATATTAAGCATCGTTGGGTAATTGCCCCATATTTCCTCCGCTTCCCTCCCTTTTAGAAATTCCACCTCCTGCCCTTTTCGCTTCCGCTTCCCATACCCCTCCTGCCCCAATTGTCCGGGGCTCCTTTCCTCTTTCGTGCTGCATAGAACAACAAGGGGGGCGCTGGGGGTAAAGGGGGGGGGGCGGAAGAAAACGAGTTTTTCTCCCCCGACCCCAGGGCTCCCAATAGAGCTTGCTTGCAGGCTATTCAGCGTAATCGGCACCAAATTTCTCCTTGTAATATTTCTGCTTTACAAAACAAAGTCGGTACATAATCACACGAGATAAATTTAATGAATACTTCACTCCCCGCCACTTCTATAGGAAATGTATAAGGATAACAAATCTAAATTTAATTTTGATACTAGGGTTAAGTATGACTAATCGGTAAACAAGAATCGACTAAGAAGTAGCAAGGCAAAAAAAAAAAAATTCAAAAAACGTACGTACCATCTGTGAGCCAAATCTGTGTTGAATTGTTTCTTGCGTGGATGGCACTGCAAGAATAAATGTTTCATCATAATGTTAATCCAAAGTTTACAATACTATTTACATAGCTGGTAGAGAAGACCCGTCCGATCAAAGGTTGCTTTTTTGCGATATTACCTGGGTAATTTTGTGTAAAAAATTTCCCGATAATCGATAATCGGATCTCGATTGGTTTCAAACGCTAAAGTCTATTTATTCTTAAGCCTACTGACATTGAACAACAAAATAACAGTTTTTTTCTTTCCTTTTCTTGAAACCTTGTACCTAAACGGTTCCAAACTGGATCATAGGTAAACAGTCTCGCCAAGTACTTACCGAATTCTTCTAACAGAAACACGCCTCCCTGCGTAGAACAGTTCCTGATGTGACACAAGTCAATGTGAACCTAATAAATAACAAGATCAGTTACCGAGTGAACGCCACTGTCCCAAGAGGTAATGACCAATGCCTCTGTCTCCAGGTAATGTACTCTTATACAGTTAGTGATATTTTTCATTTACGAAAAGGTAAAGAAAAATAAAAAAAGAAGTTATTCAAGAGACTGATTTCTTCAGCTACCTACCAGGAAGCCACTCTGCTAGCAATGCGCTGGTGTTGCTGGGATACAGTTTCGAACCCAGGCTCAACAGCGGTGCGTCTGGCACGGGGGGCTCAGATACGGCCATCGGTTTATCAAAAAGCGAATGCTCACACTCGGAAAAACAGATACTAAGTAAAACTGTCCGAGCGCAAAGTCCCTCCCACTCTTGCATGACCGCAGTAAAGCAGAATTAACAGTCAAGTACCCCTCATTTTGTTGGTTCACCTGGTCCTGGGAAGAACGATAAAAAATATATAGCACTAGTCAAATTTCCGCGCGGTTAAAAAGGAGACAGAAATTAAGTGACCAAGTTGGGATCGTGGAAATTACATTAGCCCAAACGTGACTAAGTTGGGTTCTATAATTGGCCAGAGAATAGACTTTAATGGGGTTGTTGTTCTGAGAGGCCAGCAGCACTGATACCCAGCAAGTAACTCCCATCGTCACCCTTAACCATGTCTGAGTACGGGCCCTCTTACTTTCGACACTAGTGATAAACTGAAAGTAAGTTTCTCTGCTATGTCACTGCGTTCCGCCGCAGAGAAAACGTTTAAGTTCTAATCAGCAGAAAGGCAACAACACGTTGAAATAGGAAGGACACGACCAGTTGAGTCAAAAATTTGTCAGGTAAATGAAGGCAATTTTCTGCCTGAATTGTCTAGATCCGCCCTTTCAAGCGCACTGATATGTGACAGTGTGACCATAGTTATCACTCAATTAACTATGGTGTGACAATATGTTAAAAAATTCAACAAACAAAGCACTGAAGCGTTCGAAACCTCTCCTCTTCGGCATATTGCTTTATGATGCTTTTTTGTCTCTTACTGTCAGAATATAAAGTCTCTCATAAAATACAAAAACAAATACTAGGCATTGCGGGGCACCGGGTCAAATTTAAGCCCAGTCATTACTGCTTCTAATTAGCAAATTCATTAAGTGACAACGCCTACTGATTAGAACAAGATACACTCACCTATAGAGTGAACCGTGAAACAGATAGTATTAACTAATGCAAAACATCTACAAATAAACAAAAGAAAACAATAGAAATAGTGCATAATAGTGCGTAGTATTCTACTACCTATTTCACGGGTTAAGTAAAGTCACTCTAAACTCCAAGGCCCAGTTTGTATGCGGAAAAGAAGGTCACATTCCCAGCCTGGTAAACTTAAGCGAGTGTGTATATCAGAAAAAAGGTGATTCCTTTGCCTCAGGCAACACTCTCCCATTCATGCACTCATTATTTTTCTCACCTTGATCGAGCTGACACGGCTGGGTGAGTCAACTGATTATACCTTATGCTCAATTATGCCTTTATAACTTGCTTGTTTACGATGGTAAAACTGTTCGAGCGCAAACTCCCTCCCACTATTGTATGTCTATAAAAAGTAGAAACAGTTAAACACTTGCAGACAATTGAATTGCGATAAAGTTTACAAATGCAATAACTCACAACTAACTAAAGAAAGCTGCTCATAATATACAATTTTGAAACTGTTATAAAACCTGACAAAATCAAATGCATAACAAGTCAATTCTAGTTCTCAACAATTGTAAACATAACTTAATGGAAAACTGTCCTTATTTCTTTAAGTTATCCACTTTGCACTGATGTATTCTTTCAGAGAGTAGTTTGGCTAAAATTTACTCGGAAGTAGTTTGTTGAGATTGTGCGATGCATGATTAGCGCATATTTCGTCGAACAACTTGCCGCAATTTCCCCTATTCTATCATACAGTTTTGAAAGTCCTGACAGCTCTTAAGAGCCTTAGCATATGATAGCTCAGGGCTAATCTTCATAGCACGTTTTGCAGTCTTTCTAGGTCTTCGCTTAGATAACTTGGTAGAGCACGATCAAAAACTGAGCTGCCGAACTTCAAAGTAAAGCGAGCGTATGGTGTAAAATAGAATTGGCTCTCTTGTAGCAACATGCCATTTCTTAAGCCGGCTCTTAGAAAACAAAATCTTGTTAAAACCTTACTAATTCTCAGTGATTGTTGGTGTCGGTTCACCTGGTCCTGGGAAGATCAATTAAGCGTAAAACTAGTATGTCTTACGCGCAAACTAAAAATCAGCGTCCGAGTAAAAAGTTTTCCTTACTTTTAACAGTAATAAAAAAAAATAGTCACTTATGGGCCGGTCAAATTTTTGCCCAGTCATAACCACTTTTAATTAATACTGAATTTGTTTAGAGACAACGCGTAATGAAATGTAAGGTCAGGCACACGAATTTTCGAAAACAAAAAGATTAGAGCATTAGTAAGGCGCTATTTAGTGACCAATTACCCTTGAGTCAGAACATAACAACACGGCAAACTCAGTTCTATTTGCACGAAACATTACGTTAAATTTTATGAACATTTTTCTTACTGTTTTGTGTTTGTTTACGTTAAGATGAATAATTTTCACATTCTTTTACTTGTCCTTACTTCCGATCTTTTAATACATAAAATAAAATATAACTGCCACTTTTCGAATTCATACTTAGTACTTCTTCATAGTGACAGGAAACAGTGCTCGATACTTTTTATTTTCAGCCTTAACCTTTCTTGCTTTCCTCTTTTAAAAGTGTTTGACAAAAAATACCTAGCCTCATTTTAACAACGAGGGGAACATCTCTGTGATCTGAATTTTCTTGATCTGCCCTATAATTAGGAGCACAATATCTGATACTGCGTCAATGTGTTCATTGATGCTGAGTAACAAAGCGTACGGCTTATCATGCTATCCTCGGTTTGTTACCATTCCTTGGGAAGCGAACGGAGGGGGGTTACCTCCCAGTAATAGGCTAATGGGGATGTGCCGCTGGATGGGGTAGCATTTTTTCACGACTAGTTGACTATGATGTAGTAGCATTTTTAATGAAGTTGCTAGAATAGAGTCGCATATTTTCAGGATTTTTGGGGTAAGAAAAACTTGGTAAGTAGGGATTAAAAAATTTGAACATTCGCGGTTAAAGAGGTGGCAGAAAGTGGTTAAGTTGGAATTGGAGAAATTACACAGAATCGCAGTAATGGGGTTGACGTTGTGAGAGGCCAGTGGCAGTCAATACCCAATTGACCCAAGTACCTCCCCAAGTAACTCCTCCCCGGTCACCATTAACCTTAAGCGTCTATAATGCTAGAAATGTCTAAGAACAAAGGCCATCTTGCTTTCGCTCATAGTAGTTTCACTCCATTTGAAAACATGTGCGAAAAGTTCATTCGCCTAAAGATAACTCAATGCTACATTTTTAAATTTACTTATAATAATCGCAGCTGATTAATCTTTCTAATAGTTAATCTTTCTTCAAAAGTGTTTGACAAAAGTTTCTTTCTTGTAAATGAAGGCAATTTTCTCTATGAATTTTGTAGATCCGCCCTTTGAAGCACACTGATAATTAAAGTGTGTCAATATGTTAAAAAAATTCAACGAGCTAAGCACTGAAGCGTTCGAAACTTCTGTGAAAAATTCTTTAGAGAATGAAGGTTACCCTCCCTCAAACGATTCTTTACTAAGCATCGACAGTTTCTTCAAATTATTCATACTACGTTTTCGTTTTTAAAGTCTTTCACTTTGAACTTCAAAATACAAATATTTACTGCTACCCAATCATTAGCTATTTTATGAAAGCAAATTCTCTTTGTACTGAATTTTCTTTAAGAAAACGAAGAGAATGAAAAGTATCAGTTTTTTTTCTGCGGTTTGTCAATGCGGTGTTCATGCATGCAGTTTAAAATTTTAAGGTAGTTCCTGCAAAAGTGGTTATCAGCGTCGGCTTTTTTGTACTTTTTAGTGTCGGCCTCGCATGTTTACGATACTAAGTAAAACTGTCCGATCGCAAAGTCCCTCCCACTCTTGCATGACCTCATGATCAGTAAAGCAGAATTAACAGTCAAGTACCCCTCATTCTCTTGGTTCACCTGGTCCTGGGAAGAACGATAAAAAAAATATATAGTTACTGTTCTAGTAAAATTTCCGCGAAGTTAAAGAGGTGACAGAAAGTGACCAAGTTGGGATCGTGAAAATTACATCAACGCAAACGTGACTAAGTTGGGTTCTATAATTGGCCACAGAATAGACTTTAATGGGGTTGTTGTTCTGAGAGGCCAGCAGCACTGATACCCAACAAGTAACTCCCATGCTCACCCTTAACCATGTCTGAGTAAGGGCCCTCTTACTTTCGACACTAGTGGTAAACCAAAACAAGTGAGCTTACAGCTGTAATCTCACTCCATTTTTAAACTTTCTGCAAAAGTGTTTGACAAAAATTTCTGTCAGGTAAATGAAGGCAATTTTCTGCCTGAATTGTCTAGATCCGCCCTTTCAAGCGCACTGATATGTGACAGTGTGACAATATGTTAAAAAATTCAACAAACTAAGCACTGAAGCGTTCGAAACCTCTCCTCTTCGGCATATTGCTTTATGAGGCTTTTTTGTCTCTTACTGTCAGAATATAAAGTCTCTCATAATTTCCAACTCTAAAATACAAAAATAAATAGGCATGGTGGGGCACCGAGTCAAATTTAAGCCCAGTCATTACTGCTTCTAATTAGCAAATTCATTAAGTGACAACGCCTACTGATTAGAACAAGGTACACTAACCTATAGAGTGATTTTACATGAATCGTGAAACAGATAGTATTAACTAATGCAAAACATCTACAAATAAACAAAAGAAGACAATAGAAATAGTGCATAATAGAGCGTAGTATTCTACTACCTATTTCACGGGTTAAGTAAAATCACTCTAAACTCCAAGGCCCAGTTTGTATGGAGAAAAAGTTTTCTCCGGAAAAGAAGGTCACAGTCCCAGCCTGGTAAACTTAAGAGAGTGTGTATATGGAAAAAAGGTGATTCCTTTGCCTCAGGCAACACTCTCCCATTCATGCACTCATTATTTTTCTTACCATCGAGCTGACACGGCTGGGTGAGTCAACTGATTAAATACCTTATGCTCAGTTATACCTTTGTAACTTGCTTGTTTACGATGGTAAAACTGTTCGAGCTCAAACTCCCTCCCACTATTGTAGGTCTATAAAAAGTAAAAACAGTTAAACACTTGCAGACAATTGAATTGCGATAAAGTTTACAAATGCAATAATTCACAACTAACTAAAGAAGGCTACTCATAATATACAATTTTGAAACTGTTATAAAACCTGACAAAATGAAAAGCATACGTTTCTATATGTACATTAAGAAACAAATCACTTCTAGTCCTCAACATTTGTAAACATAACTTAATGGGAAACTGTCCTTATTTCTTTAAGTTATACACTTTGCACTGATGTATTCTTTCAGAGAGTAGTTTGGCTAAAATTTACTCGGAAGTAGTTTGTTGAGACTGTGCGATGCATGATTAGCGCATCTATTGCGTCGAACAACTTGCCGCAATTTCCCCTATTCTATCATACAGTTTTGAAAGTCCTGACAGCTCTTAAGAGCCTTAGCATATGATA